GGGGGGGGGGGGGGGGAGGATTGAAACCGAAGGCTGAATGAACGAGTTTGAAGAGGAAAGAGGACTTTCTATTGCTTCAAACCAAATTTAGATTTTTCATTTCTTTGGGGGATAAGAAATAAAGGAGAAAAGGAATAAAAAAAACAAGAGAATCCCGTGCGAATAAAAAATTTCACCCCATGAGTTTGACCAATGCACGAACTTTTTGCAAACGAAAGTGACAATCAAACGTTAAAGTGCAACAACGTGAAAATCGTCTTGACGTATTTCATTGGTATATGTAACAAAATAATTATATTATCATTTATTTCTTTAGTCATTTTTGGGTCGATGCTTTCATGCCTTTTAAATCTCGCGGGAACTATACATTGATGTCGTTCTAATCTTCGCCACCAGGGGGCAACCAGCAGCGGTAGTGGCACAACCTTGTGGCGGTTGTAAGAACTAAGAGAGCTCTGCGCTGCTTCCACAGTAATCGGTTTTCATTCATAACTAATCGGAAATATTAGAGACAAATGGCTGTATTTCATTCATTTTTATCGTTACTTTTTTAGTTTTCCGTTGTCTGTCCCGGTTTAATTTATTTCGTCCAGTGATAATTATTACATTATCATATTACCAGTTTTACGGTTTGTTTCGCTATTTTTCATCGATTCATATTCTGAAATTGTTAAATTTTGAGATAATTGCAATGCCTCAGAGTTAATTTCATTAACTTTTTGACCCCATTGTCTGAAGAAGGCAAGCTGACATGTTTAATGCTTTTTGTACTACGTGTAGTAGTGTTTTATTGTACTGCCGGTTGTCTACAGAATTTTAATTTTTTCAATGAAACAATTCAGGTATAAATAGTGGTTTCTTGGGGCAGAATGAAGTGATCGGAAGGGATATTATCAAGTTACCGTGTAGAATCCACAACCAGCGCAGCGTTTATATTCCATAGCTGGGTAGTACAACCGATTCTATTAGACATACTGATCCAGTTTTAGCTAAATTAAAACGACGTATGTTTAGTTGACCATTTCGCCCGACACATTAGTACTAGTAGACAGCGACGTAACGTTCAGATGTGCAAGGTGCGCAATAAGGACGGGCGCAAAAAAAAAAAAAAAAAAAAAAAAAAAAAAAAAAAAAAAAAAAGAATATTTTTGTTATTTAAGTTACCAACACTACTTGGGTTTGCTGTACATGTTTATAAAGTGCGGCTGGATAAAGGTTTTGCGGGCTGGCCCGCACGCATTTCGTTACGCTATTGCTAGTATAGTATGAGGAGTTTCCTTGTTGTCAACCAAGGAGAGACAAACATTTGTGCGATTTTTGTTTGTAAAGTTTATATGAAATAATTATCGCATCGAACTATTTAAAATAAGTTTACGGTTTTTAATAAAATGTTTCGCTCGCAGATTTTGAGGTCAACATTTCGCTACCGATTTTGAAATTATTACAAAATGCCATTCTGCATTGCTATTAAATAATTTCAAACTAATTTATAATGCCTTCGAACTTAGATGTATCGACGCTTGCCTATCCTTTCACTCTGACGGCAAAAACCGTAAAAATCTAAATTACTAATTTCTGATTCGATTTACTTCTGTACCGAAAATGAACGATGTGCAGTCTCCGATCATGTGAAAGGTGCCTTTAGTTTCGTTATATACACAAGAACATTTTGCATATTGACAGAAAAATACAAATACTTGATTGTGTTACTTCATATATTCTCAAATGACATATATTCTCTTCTGACACGTATTGACAGAATTCTGATTCTTAATGCGCTACTATTTAAAGCAGCTTTCAACATGGTTGTCGTACGACTGCAAGGCTCCAAGTGAGAGATCGCCCGACATATATTTGCTACTCGTGTTGCATTTTGGAACAGCAGCTTTTTTATATTTTGTTTTAAAATTAACGTAACTAACTTAACAAAATTTATGCTCTCTCAAAAATTCAAACATGTGTATTTGTTTTGAACAATTTGGCAACCAAAACTGTTTCATTTGGGAATGGATCCAGCGATATATTTGTTTCAAAATATTTTTTTCGATCTCCCTATTGCAAATGTTTCAAATTATTTCTGTTCCGGTGTGGGCATGATTCCATAAAAAGTAAATTATAACGAGATATTGGTGACAAGAGATGGTGTATGACGACCCCTAGTTACATATTGACCTTTTTTCTGTTCCAAGTGATCAATGTTTAGAGTTTAAGAATTGGAGACTAACACTATAAGCCGTGGCAATAATAGCAAGTTGCTAAAAAAAATTTCGATTTTGCTCCTAACTTGAGGTTCTTCTTACCAACGCAAATCCTTCATAAATAACAACAAAACCTATGAGAGAAACAGGGAAGCTGCACTTTCTTCAAAATCTAGAAACGATCATTTGCGTGGTCAGACGGAAGAGCGGGCCTGATGGCCCGAGTCTCGCCACGTAAAATAAGGCAAATTCAAATCAAATCAAATCAAATCATTTCAGTGTAGCGGCAGGTTTGCTGTGATTGGTGTGGCTTTTCTTATTTCCCCAATCTTATCAATAGTTTAGTTAATAGTATAGCAGTCATTTTATGCCTTTCAGAAAGTGTTACGTCTTGTTTCGAGAAGTTTGACAAAAACTGTATGCGACGTATGGGAAAGAAGAATAAATCATATAACGAAAAATTAACATAGCAACATGCTAAATGAGGATTCTCTCAGTGATTGAGCAACTGTAACAATGATAATAACAACAAAACACTAGTGTTGCCAATAGTAAACGCGCGACACCTACAGGATAAAAGGAATAAAAATAACAAAAATAAAATATTGATAATGACAGCGTAAAAAACATGTGCGCCAACAATGAAGACAAAAACAACAGCGACGTCTGCCAAAGCGACAAAATTATATAATTTACGTGAAAAGCACGCGGTGCAAATTACATAGTTTTGTTTAATTTTGCGCAAGCGTCTAGTGCAGACGGAAGTGAACATAACGGATGAAATCCGGACGGAAAGAAATGACGCTCGCAAAATAACTTACGTCCTCTCACAGGAGACCGGGATCTCAGGCGTCGTCTTCGTGCCTTTCCTGAAACGGGCATAACGTGTAGTTTATTGTTACGATTGCTAAAGAGTGAGGTTATGTTTTTAAAAGAGTATCGTATTGCATTATTTTGCTATAATATAATACAGATTGTATTACCATCTGTAGAAAATATAATGCAGATAGTATTACCGAAGGCGCACTCAGGATTTTGTTCGGGAGAACCCACTCATTAGCAATTGTCAATAAATGGTTGCTGTACGTGTAACGTCCAGCCGACTTCGTTTTCTTATAAAGGAGTTTTCGTTTGTGCTGAATAAAAGATATATTTTAGTTTGATGTCTGTTTCTTTAGATTTATTGAATGCTTTTCGAAGACACAATTAGTAAATTCGTAAAAGCTATATTTTTTTAAATGCATTAGTGTCTTCGGGCGAAGGGGGGGGGCAGGCACATGAACAGCTCCTTCCTCCCCCTTAGTTGCGTCAATGGAGATTGCAAATCAAAGTTAAATGCTCTCTTCCCCCTTCGTGCCTAGATTACTTAAAATTTTCTTTCGTAAAAATGATTTTTTATGACATGTTCGTTCGTGTCATCGCGAGTACGAGTATCGAAAATCGTAAGCGTAGTCAGATCGTTGAAGTGCAAGGAGCGTAGGCGTGATCGGGCTACAACAAGAGAGGGGCGAACCACATTTCGGGACTACTTTATCCATTAAACTTCATTTATATATGAAACTTTAGTAGGAAATAAATAAAACACACTACAAGAACAATTAAATTATAACCTGAATGATAGAATTAATAAACACTATTGATTTTATGGTGAACCATTTAGAATGATTGAAGAGGCCTTTCCCCCAAACGTGCATCAATTCCCCAAATTGTCAGCCTTTCAAAGAGGAATATAAAGAATTGATTATATGTATGGAAATTAAGTGCTTTTTACGCAGGGCTAGGGGCTCTCTTTCGACATTTTCGTGAGGGCGCCACAATCATTGAGCGTTCAGGTTCACCTCAAGGAATCTCCTAGCTTCTTCAGTTCCCTGTGTGGAGACGGTCACTGGGAGAGGGGGAAGGCCCCACGCCTACAACGCACGAGCTTTTACATTTGATGAAGTCAACAAATGACGAAATATGGAATGAGTTTCCCTTATTTCGTGATTTCAATGAGATCTCTCATTTTTTGAAAATGACGTTTTTTAGGAAAATTTAAAGAGCTAAATTATCAACGTCTGTGTTTTAATTCTGAACATGGCCGCTTCGCTTATCGATGTCGCATCAGTGGCACCAGGGCGCGCACCTGCTTTCGGGCTGCGGGGGTGCCGTGCCCGCCCGCAACTGCCTGCGTTCAAACGCCGCCCGCCGCGCGGTCCCGCGCTCCCATTGGCCGACCCCTCCCCTCCGGCTCCTCCTCCCCACTGGCTGCGTCGGCGGCGCGGCGCGGGGCCGGCCGGGCAGTCGGTTGGCGGGTGCCGAGATGGTCGCAGCTGCGGGAGCAGCAGCGTGGGCGCGCGCGCGTTAGCGAACCCCGGCCGTGCGGCGTGTGCGTGCGTGCGTGAGTGCAGTGCGAGCGTCGAGCGTGCGTGTTGGCGTGGAGCGCCGTCGTGATGGGCGTGCTGCGGTGGCGGGAGCGTGCCCAGGAGCGAGCGGCCAACGCCGTGGCGGCCTCGGCGGCGGCCGCCGACTGCCGTAAGCTGCAGTCGCAGGTGAGTGAGTGGGATCGGGGGCGTCTTTCTCTCTCTCTCGGGCTGACCGTTGCGGCCCGGGCGACACCTGCCTGGCTGCCGGCTGCGGCGGTGTGAAGTCCGGTGGAGGGAGCGTGCCGGCGCTTGTGGGTTAAGCGGAGCGGGGCTGTCGTGATTCCCGTCTCCAGAGGCACGAGCTGGTCGTGTCTGCTGGGCGTTTCCTGGTGCGGCGCGCTGGCTGTTTGTGGCGACGCAGAGCCGCAGCCACCGTGGCCACCGACCTTTCACCTCCCCGTACAGAGAACGTTCTGACGTTTTCTGGCAACATGTAAAGCCGTTCAGGGCGCAAAGAAATAATTAATCGTTCATGGAGAGGAGTGGGTTCACCACTTTGTAACGGAATTGTATGATGGGAGGGGGAGTAATGTGAAAAGTGCGTGTACACTACAAAAAAGGGTGTGTTAATCGAAGACGTCAGGTAGAGTTGAGTCTGCCTGCTTGCCTGTGGCAAGGGAGTGTCGAAGTGTGGCCACCGACCTCTGACCAGCCCCTGCAGGACGTTTGCTGAGAATATTCAAAACTGAACTGACGTTTTCTTGCAACATATGGTGAAGCCCGTTAGGATTCATTCGAGAAATACGTAATCGTCGTTCGAAGTGGGTTGACCACTTAGTTAGGAACTGTGTGAACGGAGTAGGAGTTAAAAAGTACACGTACTCTACAAAATAGGTGTGTTACTTGAAGGCTTCAGGTGCCGTACTGTCATATGCCTCTGTTTAGGTAAAGCCGGAGATATTCTCCTAACTTTGACTTCCCGTGCAACGTCATCGCTGCGAACAGTCAAAATTCAACTGAAGGTTTTTGCCAAAATATGAAGCCCTTTTGGGAATCATTCGAGAAATTCGTAATCGTCGTTCGGGTGGAGTGAGTTGACCACTTTGTTACACAATTGCATGAACGGAAAGGGATCGTATTTGAAAAGAGCACAAACGCTTCAAAACAAGTGTGTTATTTGAAGATGTCAGGTAGCATTTTTGTCTCTGTCTGTGGCAAAGTTAATCCGGCGTGTGTATACTTACTACCTCTATGGTGTCCACCGACCTTTAACCTACCCGTGCAACAGCTTCGCTAAGAAAACCCGAAACAGAACTGACGATTTCTTCCCACAAGTCGTGAAGCCCTTTTTAGACGTCTTTCGAAAGTATGTAATCTCTGTACTGGGTTGCAGGTTGACCACTTTGTTGTGGAAGAATTGATACGAGGAGGAGAATATTTCAAAGTGCACTTACGCTACAAAGCAGGTGTGTTATTTGAAGACTTTAGCCAGCGTAGACATAAGTGTCTCAATTAACAAATTTTACCAAGGAGTAAATACATTTAGTAAGTTAGATTTTTCCATCCTTTATACAGTGTTTACGTATTATGTAATTGTTAGTAATCCTGTCAATCTAAAGCATTTTGTTATAGTGAGAGACAATTTAAGTCCATACATTTCAAAGGACTGAATATATTTGTTACGAAAGTATGTAAAGGGGAAGGAAGTAAAAATTGAAAATTTTTGTATACGTGTTTTTTAACAATCCCTGTCGAATTTGCACGTCAACAAGATGTGAAAGACTTTGATTAAGGTCGTGTACAACTTTTCCTACACTGTGCAAGTAAAACTAGAATCTTTACCAATTGTAACTTGCGGAAAACAACTATGAACCATAGATCACACAGATTTATATTTATTTCTATGACGCCTCAGAGTGCTTCCTGCCCGAGCAGCAGACAGGGCTCGAACTCCGCTCTCTAGCTGAGGAATTTGAGGTGAACAAATTGCGTTGCGGCAGCCTTCGTCGGGCTCTTCCAATTTCTCCATCGTCTCTCATTACCATCTAATCACAAAACACTGACTGTTCCCGGTCCAAGCGAAAGCTAGTGGTTCCGCTCCGAGTGCTGTTCAGTAAATATTGAAGGATTGAGACAACAGCAGCCGGGAATTGTCCACGAACTTGGAACTTGGGGCATAAATTAACACATTGACGCAACTGTCATTTCCTGCTTTAATTCCTGCCGTTTGTGATGGCGAGTGCCACGTACGAATGGTTTATTATCTTGTTCAGTTGTGGTTATACGAGTATCTGAAAGGAGGTATCCATATCGAGAGGGAGCGCTTCAGTTCCAACGTCTTATGCCTCTGGGTTCTCTTAGATACCTAAACTCTTTGCGGAATGGCTCAAACGACGGTAACATTCAACCAACCACACATTCGTTCAACATTTGTTATTGATTATGAGTTACTACTTCGCCAAACTCGTTTCGAAAAAACTTGTGTCAATGTGTTGAGTCTCCGATGTAACGTTGACATTGTATGGTCACTGATCTGAATTCAGACCCGTCCAGATCTTTATCACAGTTAACACCTCTATTGCTTTGAAATATATGTGAGAATTTCCATAGCGCGAGTGGTATTTAGTAGGGCTATTCCACGAGTGAAATTATGTCCAACAGAATTCCAAAATGCGTCAAAACATAACAACTGAATGCTAATTTAAAATCGCACGCTACACGGCGATCGATGTAGTATCACAGTATAAAGTAGTATACCGTACCGAAGATAGATGAGTCACAGTTTATGATTGGCCAGTAGGGGGGACCAGTAACAAAAAACTGATAGAAAGAGAGATTAACTTTTCGAGATACACCGCCCTGATTGGGGCACTTTTTATGTCTAGTTAAACACTATTGGTTTTAAATTCACGAGGGGAATAGTCATTTTAATGACATTACCACATCTGTAGTTCAGTGGATACCTGAACCCGCATGAAAAAAATCTGGGCTTATGCAAACAATTTGGTGACCCATAGGTAATGAATGAATCGTTAAGTCCACAAAGCAGTGGATCCTATTACATTGCCGCGATAAAATTGTTTATTTTTGCAGAGTTTGAAAGCAACGTGGTCTGCGGTCGATGTATTTAACCAGGGTTGGTGTCTCTTGTTGCTGCTTGTGGGTGAAATCTGAGTCTGGAGCACAGGATTTGCCGCTCGCTGGTCGAGATAGAGATACCGGTTGAGTTTAACATTTTTAAAAACATTTCCCAGCCTCATCCCTTGATTTGTGAGGGAGATTTTGTGGTTAACAATCATAAGCATTTCAATTACGCTGTTGACGTACTACCTCAGTTACTGAGTTGAACCAATTATTAGATTGTTAGGTTGCTTTGGGGATTTGATTAATTCGTACACTAAAAAATTACATCACTTCAAAATACGATTATTTGTACGTAACAAAAATAATTCGTAAAAACCCTGCGCATTTCCATCCCGTCATTATACAAGCTATTAATAATAATTTCCTTTCGGAGAAAATTGACATCTCAAATCGTCATTTCTGATAGAAGTGAATAGAAATGTTTAAAAACCGGTATATTTTTATGAGTTGACATTACGTAAAGGTGATTCACATGACTGTCGTTATTGTGTTCAATATGTTTTGCTCTAGTCGGGAAATTCACAGTTCCGCAGGTCATAAAACAGTTCTACACAGTGATACTTTTTATGTCATTTTTCTTTTCCAATGAATCCAACTTGTTTGCCGTCCAAGCTGTTTGTTCACCGATCTCGCAGTGCATTGATCCACCTCGGAGAAGGCACACCAGGAAAGCGTCCGCGTTTCAAAATGCGATTCTTCCTTCACGGATCATTACGTGGGTAAACACGGTCAACCCTACCGTTGTTTTTTCGACAAACATAGCGTTTGTTTTGTGTCGTGCAGCCACTTGTGGGCTTAACGCGAAGTTGGCGTCGTGCCTCTGGACGTACGGTGACGCTTGCAGTGTTGGGAGACGAACCCCGATTCACTGCGGGCTCTTGCGTAGGCGTGCGGACGAGGGGGGTCATGTCCCCCTGGACAATTCGAATGGGACGAAGCCCAATATTAAAAAAAAACTATTTAAAAAATGGTAATTGGACATTGAGTGTTGACGATTTCCAGGCAAAAAGGACGAAGGAACTTTGGAATTTACTCTTTGAAAGAAGTCCAATTATGACACGATCCCTCCTAAAAGTATGTCAGTAAAAATGCTCGTAACTACTCGTACAAATGTAGTCCTGTCGATGGCGATCCCTCTGACAACCGCCCAAAAATAGAGAGATTTCAAAAATGTAGAAGTAGGTCGAAATTGTTGTACGAATAAAATGTCGTGTATAAAGGTACAAGGCGGGGGCAGAAATGTACTTGGCTCCACTTCTTCCATTTTTAACTGCTCTCTATCTTTTCACTTGCCATACTTGGAGTAAAACACTAACTCCGTTGACGCTAGATCAGCTGTGACGCTGAGATTCAATGGCGTACTTCGGCGTCACTGTAGAGACGTTCGTGCACCCGATTGGATGACCAAGTGTCAACGGACGTAATGTTTTAATCGTATGGTCACACTCGTCCTTTGTGATTCCGAGGTCTAGTGATAAAAAAATCAGCAGATCGACGGATTATTCTGTAAAATCGATAGTGTCGGCTGTCGATAAACTATTTTCGATTTCAAAAACAGCCATGTCAACTTAGGTAGGTAGTACGTAATGTGCCTCTCAAGTGTTTCCTTATTTACTTGAGAAACACAAAAAAAAGTATATGGGTCACCAGGTGGATTCTGGACAGTCATTCTAGAACGACATTTCAACGTCTTAGAGTTCCACTCAATTTACAGTTAAAATGGCTGGTGAGGACATCCAGAGCATGCTATTGTTCGAATTTCTAAATACCAAACAAACTGCACTCGTTACGGCAGTTAGCTCGAAACATTGCCATCAGTTTTGTTGATACACTAGTCTGAATATTTGATCAATTACAATGATGCCACAGTCAAAAGCCTTTAAACGGCGAGCAGTGAACCTTGACACGATTCATATGGGACGTATTTCGGCCACAAACACGGGCGTCGTTAAATCATTGCTTACTTTTTCGGAGAGAGCAGAACGCGGCGAGTAAGCATGTGCGATTCCGTGGCCTAGAAGTAGTGAATAACCGCGCGCGTGCGGCCGTGGGCTGGACGGCGGGTCGCCTCGTAAGTTTGGTCAATTGGCCGGGCCGGGCGGCGCGGCGCGTCGCGGGCCGGTTTCGGAATCCGGTTGGGCGCCCGGTGCAGTTGCTTGCGGGTTGGGCGGCGCGGCGCCGAGCCGTCCCGATTCCAGTTGTACGGAGTCTGTGGCGCTCGGCGGCCGGCATTCCGACCGCGATGGATGCGCCCGGTTAGGTGGCTCTGGGCGTCAACTGATGGCACTGCAGTGCCTGTGACTGGCAGGTCCTAGGGTTTCCACTCCTGACGGTGGCACGATTTTCGTCACTAGCTTGTTAGCTAGGTCAATTTCAGACGTCGTCGCCCCCGCCCACACCATGAGAGGTAGCTCAGGGTATCAGGTGATGTCACAGCAGTGCCTCTAACCGGAAAACCCTAGGCTTTCACTCCCCACGGTGGCAGAGTTTGCACACTAGCTTCACAGCTAGGTCGAATTTAGCCGCTGTCTGGAGGACAATTCTAGCGGCCGGTTGCTCTGATCAATAGTTTTCCGTGGTTTCTCCGATCAACACCAGGTGAATGCCGGAGCAGTATCCTAACAAACGGGCCACGGACCGCGCGCGATCTTTTCGTCTATTTCCTTGTCCTCCTTTCTCACACACACTAACATGCACTTCGCTACCATATGTTGGGAGACAGGTCGGGTGATTTCAGCGTGTCCCGGCTGGGTCGGTGCCCCGCTGGTGGGAGATACCTGGGTGAGGAAAATGAGGGCAAGCTGACAGGGAGGTGTGCGCCGGATTTCGCTATGTTGCATGGGAAGACCACCGCCACCTCCTGATATTTAAAAAAACGCACTACACTTACGGGACTAATGACCTCGTCAGTTGACGCGCCGAAACACTAATAAATCAATCAAAACCGACCGCGATGAGGGACGTATGTTTGATTTCCGCCGTTGGGTTGCGTTCAAGTAGCGTGTGTCTGTGCGCTCTGACAAAGTGAACCTGAACTGGAGGGATAATAAACCTGACCTAAATGCCAATTCTGAGGAGTAGTCGGGGCTATAGTGAGTTTGGAGACCCTTGACATACCAAGAAATGTTTCAATCTGGGAGGAAACAATCAGGAAGTTCAAGGACTATAAGACCTTTAAAATGTAATTAATTATTAAAAAAGAATTATATATTTATATTTTTTAAATATAATCTACAATACTATATATTTGTAAACAAATTATTTTTTCTAGCATTGATCAGTTTTTATACGCCATCATTTGCATCAGTTTTTATACGCCATAAATGGCATTTGCATTCTTTAGAGTAAGGACATGGGTACTTCAAAAAATGGTAGATTTTAGGAGGGTTTTTAACATCAAATAATTTTTATCATTTAGACATAGCCAAAAATCTCATTGTTGGAAAATCCAAAAAGTGCTAGAAACCCGACTAACCCGTGTGGTACCTGTCTAGTTGACGTTTGGTGTGTGTGTGTGTGTGTCATGGATGACTTACACGACATCTAATATGTCATCCATAATTCCGTTCATGGGATATTACGCCATTATCGTACGGTGATTATTTCACATGGGAGATACCCGCGCAAATCCATGAGATCTCCCACACACGCTCTTGAATGGAGTGTGCATATTTTAGACATTTAACTCATAAGTGATCGAAAACACAGTAGCGGTCAAGTATGTTTTTTAAGCTGTGGATTCGAATATCAATTTGCTGACATCTGAATCGAAATTGATTTATTGCATTACTTTATCTTTGTCGGTGTCCAAGAAACGCGTTTAAGTGTTTTTTTTAATTGTAATTTTGATGTTTTTGTACTGATTAGGGTATATTTCGTGGATAAAGTCAAGTCTTTTCTCAGTC